TACCTTGACGTGGTTGTGGGGCTTGTGTACTCTGAGGAAGATGAGAGCTATGCTAGAGGTTCAACCATACTGGACAGGTCTCATCAGAGGAGTCAGACAAAGAGTGTCTCTCCCATAAAAAATATGGTGAGACGTAAATTTCAGAATGCCATACCGGCTCGGACGTCGCCCGGGTTAACAAGGTCCGCACTAGATATTGGAGTTCCTGGATATCTGGTGAAAAATGGGTTACAGGACTCAGGACTGTTGGCTGAGCAACCAGGGCCAGCAGCTGCAGAACTACTGGAAGAAAAGGTGTTTACCCGTCGCAGATACACAGTGATGGAAAACAAAGAAATAATGATCTGTTACTACAGATCAAGTCCAACAAGAAGAGAGAAAGAGACCGAGGGACTAATTAAAGAGACCGAGGGACTAATTCTGGCTGCACAAGACCAAGCCTTAAGGACAAATGCATACAAAGTCAAAATTGAGAAGACAGCAACAGACAGTAAGTGCCGCCTATGCAAAGAAGCTGAAGAAACAGTGGACCACTTGGTAAGCTGTTGCAAGAAGATTGCACAGACTGATTACAAGCAGCGGCATGACAAAGTAGCAACAATGGTGCATTGGAAGATCTGCAAAAAATATCATTTGCCTGTAAGCAAAAACTGGTGGGATCATAAAATAGAGAAAGTCATAGAAAATGATAAAATTAAACTGCTCTGGGACTTCAGAATTCAAACAGACAAGCACCTGCAACATAACACCCCAGACTTAACAATTGTCGATAAGAAAGACAAAAAAGTCTGCATAGTGGACGCGGCAGTGCCTGGAGACAGCAGAATAGAAGAGAAAGAACTGGAGAAGATAACAAAATACAAAGACCTACAAATAGAAATAGAACGATTGTGGCAAAGGCAAGCAAGGGTAGTACCAATAGTGATAGGCGCCTTCGGTGCAATCCCAAAGGAGCACCACTTGAGCACCATTGGCATTGACAAATTCGCTATTAGTCAATTGCAAAAGGCGGCCTTACTAGGAACTGCTTCCGTCCTGTGACGAGATCTGTAATACCATCAAACATCCACATCTGCCTATCCCAGGTCCTGGGTGAGGACTCGATAGGTAGACAAAATGCCAAATCCAGTCTGAACATCTGGCTGACTGTGCGATGATCCATAATAATGATGATGATGATGATGATGTTGGAAGGGACCTTGGAGGTCATCTAGTCCAACCCCCCGCTCAGGCAGGAAACCCAATACCATTTCAGACAAAGGGCTGAAATACTTAAGGGGAGTCTCAAAAAGTGCTTTTTCAAAAGGCAGCTGAACGTTTCGCTTCTCCTCCCAGAAGCTTCATCAGTTCTGAATGGATGGGGTGGGGAGAAAAAAGGGGAAGGATTCGTTTCACCGTTCTGCCAGAACCGATGAAGCATCTGGGACGAGAAGTGAAACAACTTCTTCTTTTTCGAGGGATAAAAAACAACAACAGTCCAGTTGCCTTTTGGAAAAAGCACCTTTGAGGTAGCTGTGACCCGGAGGACTAGAGAATCTCCACAGATTGTGGGGAGTGAAAATAGAAATAGGAGCTTCCCAGCGAGAAACAAAAGGCACTTAAGACTACTCTTTAGCTCAAAGATGCTGGGTTTTTGTTTTGTTTTTTCTCTGCTTGAGGATTCAGAGTCCATGGAATGTATTTGTACCCGCGATCATATTATTAGTAAGCAAAAGTTTCTTTCCCTGAGCCTCGAGCAGGTTTAAAGCAGCTTAGAATGCAAGAAATTTTGCTTTATTGAGAGAGGACTTGTCCTGAAGCAAGCCAATATATCTCGAGAGAGAGAGATCTAATGCTTTATCCTAACAAATGGAAAAAAACCCCCACACTTCTCAAATGCTAGATTGGCCTCCCCCCCATTCCCTCCCCAATCCTTCTTAGCCAAAAGGAATTAGGTGTTCTCAAAACAACTGTTGCTGTCTGTTCTATGGGGTAGATCCCTTGCAAACGTAAGATAACAAGATGGCACATTGCTGGATGATAAATATTTACTACATCCCTTTGCGAACAGGCTAACGGAAGAAAGTTGCTCTTGGCTCAGCCATCATCATCATTTTTCCAAAAAAATAAGACAAATATCACTACAGGATATTGCCCCATCTTGAGTATCCTTTAATATTCTTGAGAATCCAACGTTCCCAGCAATTGGTCCATTTTCCCCCTTTGCATAAAAATCCTTTTAACCCTCGCTATTTTGATTCAGAGCTATAGTTGGGAAGCGAGATACAGTTAAAGGAAGGGGCTGCAGAAGTACACCGATTGTACTTGTACTTGATGTCCTTTGGACAAAACAATAAGATTATCTGAATAAATGTTTTTTTATTTATTCTACCGCGTCTGAGACCTGGAGAGATTTGACTCACTCTGTGAAGGTCTAACGTGTTTTTCATGTCAACTTTACAAATCTCAATTTGAACGTTTTGGGACAATTTGCAAAACACCACCCTTGAGAAGAAATGTTGAACTTGTTGGTTTTCACGGTTTTGGATTGTGGTGTGGAATCCTTGGTGCTTGGTTGTTTTCTTGCAGACATTTCATTACGAGCTCAGAAAGCATCAAGGACTCTACAGTTCAACGCGGAGTTACAAATATTCTCCATTTGGTTGTTGTGTTTCTTACTTCTGGCTTTGTGTGTGTGTGTGTGTGTGTGTGTTTTATTATAAACAGCTGAGAGACGAGGATAGCAGGCAGTGTGAAAAAAAAAATCAACAGATAAACATTAGATATTTCAAAACTGAACTGAACTCTGAAGAGCTATGCCAGATGATCTAAACATCAACTGACTCAATAAATAACAGTCCAGAATCCTTACATCACAAAGTTAGAAAAGTACACTAAAACTGTCAAATCTTTCCTGCTGCTCAAAAAAAGAGGGCTTGGGTTTTTTGGGGGTTTTTTGCTTAAAAACTTCCAGCCAAGAAACCCACCTCCCCCTTTCCACTGTTCAGCTTCTCTCCATTTTAAGGTTTTTTTTTTCCCTAACATTAATCGGATTAATCGGAAATCTGCCTTTTTGTACTTTAATTCCACAAGTTGCACATGGGAAGGTTGAAAACATAGGAAGCCAAAAATTCCAGAACCTTGGAGCCAGCTGATTTGTAAACCTTATAAATCATTTAAAAAAAAAAAATAATAATAACATCAATTCCCAGAAAGGAGAATGCTGAGCAAGCATCCCTTAAAAGCCCCTAGTTGGAAAAAAAAACAACCCAGAATTAAAGAAACATCTTTGACGGTGAGTGCTTTCCAACCACACATACACATACAGAAAACGAATCATTCAAAATGGTGAGTTTTAGGATCACTCACAAGAAAAATATATTATGGTTTGGAGAAGATGGATTGATTACATTCAGAAGAAATATGAGATTGAAAAGGATTATCTTGCTTTTGAGTAGATTTTAGATAATTATTATTAGTTTTAATTATCTTATTATTTTTCACTTAATTTGTTAATATTTGTTTTGAGAAGGAGTTAAAGTGTGTTATGGTTTTGATTGATAGTATAGTTGGTTTATGTTGGTTAGATTATGTTTGTTTATTTTATTTTTTATCCTGTAATCAGCTCTGGGAAGTGGGGGAGGGGGGAAGGGGTGGGGGAGTTTTATATTGTAATAAATTTATAAAACTTTTAAATAAAAACAAAATGGTGAGTTTCTTCCCCACCCTTTTATCGTTAAAGTACCATTTATCTATCGATTTTTCTAGGCCCGTGCTACAGGCAGACCTTGATTTCCATCATTGACCAATAAAAGTACAGTCCGTAAAACAAACCACTCAAAACTGTGGCTTAACCACAAGAAATATTAGCAAGCCTTTGCGGGCAAAGCTTACGCACACACGGTAGCAACCTTGCGCTTTTTTAAAAAGAGAAATAATTGTATCTTGATTACTGAACAGGTAGCGTCAATCAAAGCTATCAGATTGCCCGGGACGGGAAATTTAAATAAAACTTTGGCAACCAACTAGTTGGCTACAGATTTTCATTTTTTTGCAAAATCCACCGCCCGTAAAATAATATTGCAAAAATAAAAATAGAATCAACTGGCTTTGACTGCCCCCCCCCTCTCTCCCTCCTTCTTTCTCTCTTTCTTTCTCTGTGTCTCTTTCTTTTTCTGTGTCCCCCCCCCTTTCTCTCTCTCTGTGTCTGTCTCTCTGTGTGTGTTCCCTTTCTCTCTCTCTCTGTAATGCCCCTCTTTCTGTCTCTGTCCGTCTCTTTCTTTCTTTCTCTCTCTGTCTTTCTGTCTCTGTCCCTCTATCACTCTTTCTCTGTGTTGTCTGTCTCTATTTCTCTATCTCCCCCTCTTTCTGTCTCTGTCCGTCTCTTTCTTTCTCTCTCTGTCTTTCTGTCTCTGTCCCTCTATCTCTCTCTTTCTGTGTGTGTGTGTCTGTCTCTCCCTCTTTCTGTCTCCCCCTCTTTCTGTTTCTGTCCCTGTCTCTCTCTTTCTCTCTGTGTGTGTCTCTATCTCTTTCTCTCTGTGTGTCCCCCCCCTCTCTCTCTCTGTCTCCCACCCCCCTCTCTGTGTGTCCCTCCCCCTCTCTCATAAGGGACATCAGGAGACCGGCTTTTGCAAGACACGGATCTCATCCCTTTCCCTCGCTGCCCTGCCTGACCCAACGTTGCACACGGGGGCATCGTGTTCACCCGCCGCTCTCGCCTCCGCAGCGAGGCTTTTTGTGTGTGTGTGTGTGTGCAAATCTGGGAAGTACCGCCGTCCTCTCTCCCTCGCCTCCCGGCCTTGCAAAGGGGAAGAAAAGCCAGCCGTGTGTCAGACCGAGCCTCCCCCGCCCCAAAGACACTTTCTCCCGTTCCCCCCCCCAAAAAAAACCCCTACCAGCGCCCCCATCCTGAGTCACCCGCCTTATCCTTTTCGGAGACGGTGCGATGCAACTTTTGTGCGTGTGTGTTTGTGTGTGTGTCTTTCCGAGGCTTCCGATTGGCTGCGGGGGGAGCCGTTCCTTTTTTCCCCATTGGCCGCCGGAGGAGGGGGGGCGCGTTCTTGCTCGCCTGGCCTTCGACGGGGAGGGCAGAACGCGCGCCAGGCTGGGCAGCGCCTCGCGCCTATATAAAGTCCAGCCGGGCATCCTTGCGCTCCAGCCAAGGCAGAAGGTGCCAAACGGGAACGGAGGACCGGAGATTTTTTTGTGTGTGTCCCACCCCCACTCCGACGGGCAGAGAAAGGAAGCTTGCAGGGCGCTGTTCCAAAAGGGGAGAGCCGACGGCCAGTTAAGCCAGCCGGGCTAGGCGAGCGAGCGAGCGAGCGAGCAAGCGCCCAAGGCACCCAACCCATCCACCCTTTCTTGGCCCTGCATGGCGTCTACCGGGATCCAGCTGCTGGGCTTGGCCCTGTGCGTGCTGGGCTGGACCGGGGCCATCCTGGTGGCCGCCCTGCCCTCCTGGCAAGTCTCGGCGTTCATCGAAGGTCACCTGGTGGTGTCGCAGACCACCTGGGAAGGGCTGTGGATGGCCTGCGTGGTGCAAAGCACCGGGCAGATGCAGTGCAAGGTCTTCGACTCCATCCTGGCGCTCAGCCCGCAGATCCAAGCCGGCCGGACCCTGATGGTCATCGGCGCAGTGCTGGGGCTGGTGGCGCTGCTGGTGACGGTGACCGGCGCGCAGTGCACCACCTGCATGCACGGGGCTAAGATCAAGGACTGGATCGCGGGCATCGGGGGCGGCCTCTTCGTGGTCTGCGGCTTCCTGGTGCTGGTGCCCCCCTCCTGGTTCGCCAACACCATCATCAGCAACTTCTACGACCCCAACGTCGAGCCTTCCAAGAAGCGGGAGATGGGCGCCGCGCTCTACCTGGGCTGGGCGGCCGCCACGCTGCTCCTGCTGGGCGGCGCGCTCATCTGCGGAGCCTCGGCTTGGAAAGACCCCAGCGGCGGCTTCCCCGTCAAGTACTCGGCCCACCGGCGCCCCGTCGCCCCGCTCTCCAACGGCGCAGGAGGGGAGTACGACAAGAAGAACTACGTCTGAGAAGGGTGCGGCTAGGCAGCCTCAAGGGGTCCCTTTCCCCCCCCCCTTCCGGAGAGCGCCACCCACCCGTCGCGGGGCCGAGGGAAGAGCTGGCGGAGGGGAAGGGTGGTCCTCGGAGGAAGACGGCTCCCCGCTTGGGGTGACTTTAGGGGGGGAGAAGACCCCCCCCAAAAAAACCTAAAAAAAAAAAAAATTCGCACCCGGGACTCTTCCTTTACTTTTTGAGAATTCTTCTTTGCGTGGACTTCGAATTGTACTAGCTCTCATTGAGGGCCTGGCTGCGCTGCTCCTTTTTCGAGGAGGGGGTCAGCTCTCCCACTGTAACCCCCCACCTATTTTCTGAAGTTAGTTTTTAGATGATGCCTAAGGATATTTTTTTAAAAAACTCCTGGAAACAGGAACTCGAAAATCAAGGGGTGATGCTTTGTTTGGGACGGGGATTCCGCTCTGTTCTTCTTGTAAATATGAAGTGGGGGCTCTCACTTTGGGGTGTGTGTGTGTATTATGCCGAGATGATCAGAGGGGGTTGTGTTTTATTAGCAATGTGAAGATGTAAGAGGTCAAGTACTTCTTCAGAGAAGCCGTGAGCCTGGACCAGGTTTTAGGGAATGTTATCGGGGTGGGGGATGTTCTCTTCCCGTTTCTACACTTCCTTTCTTTTCCTATCACTACTTTTGGTTTTCTCTTCCTTCTCTCTTTCAAAACTGGGCGAAAGATTCCCTTGGACAAAATTAGAATTGACCTAGCATTCCGCGGCCTTTTTAAATACCAATTTCTTCCTTTATGGCCTCCATTAAATAGCCATTTCTTTGACGGCCTCTCCTCTAAAACAGATTTTATTCCAAGAAGGTTTCTTGTCTTCTGATTGGTCTTCGCCAGGCCAAACTTCTCCACCGCACTGCACTGCCTTATTTTTAAATGATGTAATTATGATCCTTAAGTGATGGGATGACTCGGTGAAATCTGGACTGGATGTTTTGTTTCCAAATGACCGTTTCAGTGTTGACTTTTTATTTGTCTGCCAAATAAAAAAAAAATCTACCCCAGGTTTTAAAATTCAGTAGAGAACCTTCAGTTTGTCAAAGTTTCCGAGTTTGACCTGGTTCTCTTTCCGTTTGCAAGCATTGCTTTTTAGTTCACTTCAGTGGATTCAAAGCAGGGATAATTCTGGTACTGTATTTTTATTATTATTATTTCACGCTGTAACTTAAGAAAAAATCTGTCTTCATCAACAGTGTTCTCAAATCAAAGATCTGGTATATTCTATATATCTGCATATTTATAATATATATGTGTATATATGAAATTACATGTCTCCTTTTCATGGTTTCAGTGTGGTTATCTGTAAAGAACACGACTCGTTTAGATAGCAAAAAAAAAAAAAAGTGAACAATTTTTTTTTTCTCAACTCTCCGCCTACTTTTGAAATATTTATTTTTCAATGTTATTTGCTGGACCTTTTTTTTAATGACTATTTTTTAAAAAGCTTCCCAGCATTGTAAAGACTTAGTATGATTAACTGGAGAAGGAGATTGGCAAGAGACACAGCTGTGAATTGCCAGGTATTAGGGGGAGTGGGGGATGTTTGCTTAGCCCACTGTCTCTTTCCAGATGTTTCCAGTCCTGGATTTAAAAGTATTTGTTTGGTTTCCAGGTTTGGGTGGTTGCACGAGATGATAAGCTCAAATCAAATTGAACTTTGTTTCAATTGCTTGGATCGTCATCCTTAGGGGAAAGTAAATTGATATGCAGAAAAAAAAAGCAATATGAAAGCTTGGGAAGGCTACGGGGGAACCCCAGATAAAGAAGGAACGAGAGGAAATGACCGGTTTTGCTAAACTGCAGGCTTCCCAGAAATAGTCAATTGGATGGAGTTGAGAACTAGCTTGGTGTTTAGTTGGATCTGAGAATTTCAAGTTACTAAATCTGTCTTAGCTGGAAGCTGAGTAGATAGCTTAGAGTGGAGTGGGGAAATTGTCTGCATTGGTGCAAAGCAGCAAAAGGTTTAAAAAAAAAAAGAAATTACAAAACAAGACAACTGGACAAAAGTCCAGAAAAACACACTAACCCGCTATATGCTCCCTGTGGATTAAGATTTAGCGTGTCTTGGGACCTCAAGAAGTTACGATTCACATCTCAAGTCCTGATTGAACAAACTACAGCTCAGGGTAACCAAAGGAATTCAGTTGGGGTATATAACCCCAGGCAAGAATATTTGGAAAAGAAACAGGTTAGTTAAGACTAACTAACTGGTGCAGTGGGATCCCTTTGTTTTCAACACAGCGAAAGGAGGGAAAAAAGGAGCAACGGTGTGGGGGGGCACGACGAGGAAAGAGGGAGGAAAGGAAGCAGGAGGCATAGAGGATTTTCCTGGCCAAATTCGACAAGATTGTGTTTTGAAGGCTGTTATGTTAAGGAGAGGAATAGTGGAAGAGGAGGCACCCACATCAAGCTCTCCACACTGGCGTTATCTTTATGCATCGCATTATAACTCTGCAGCACACCTGGAAGGCGTCAAGTAGGGGAAAGTTGCATTCGGACTGGCTTTGGCGGAAAGTAATGTTCATTTATTTCGCCTTTATTATTGTTACAAATAACTCAAGGCGGTGAACATATCCCACGGGCCTTCCTCCTCCTGTTTTCTTCACAACAAGAACCCTGTGAGATGAGTTGGGCTGAAAGAGAGAGACTGGCCCAAAGTCACCCAGTTGGCTTGCATGCCTAAGACGGAACTAGAACTCCCAGTCTCCTGGTGATTGGCCCAAAGTCACCCAGTTGGCTTGCATGCCTAAGATGGAACTAGAACTCCCAGTCTCCTGATGATTGGCCCAAAGTCACCCAGTTGGCTTGCATGCCTAAGATGGAACTAGAACTCCCAGTCTCCTGGTGATTGGCCCACCCAATTGGCTTGCATGCCTAAGATGGAACTAGAACTCACAATCTCCTGGCGATTGGCCCAAAGTCACCCAGTTGGCTCACATGCCTAAGACGGAACTAGAACTCCCAGTCTCCTGGTGATTGGCCCGAAGTCACTCAGTTGCCTTTCATGCCTAAGATGGGACTTGAACTCACGATCTCCTGCTTTCTAGCCTGGTACCTTTAACCACTCTAGAATCTCAAAGCTGTGTTCTGGGACTTGAGGGGGAGCAGGAGAAAACTGTAGTCCCCAATTTACAATTTTCTCCTGCTCTCCCTCAAGTCCCAGTGCCAGCACACACAGCTTTGAGGTTCTGGGACTGGTCTAGTTAGTTAAGACACCAGGCTAGAAAGCAGGAGACGGTGAATTATAGTGTTGTTTTATGCATGAAAACTGGCTGGGTGACTTTGGACTAATGACCAGGAGAAGGTGAGTTCTAGTTCTGTTTTAGGCCTGAAAGCCAGCTGGGTGACTTTGGGCCAGTTCCTCTCTCAACCCAACCCACTTCTTTCCCTGCCCACTTCCTGACACACACACACACACACACACACACACACTACCCCCTTCTTTGAAGGAGCAAGGCCAGTTACTTCTGAAAAGCAGGTAACCACACGAAGATGGTGGTTACATGGTGGTTTTCTGCCCACACAAGGCTCTGATCACACACTTATTAATAGAATAGAATAACAGAGCTGGAAGGGACCTCGTAGATCATCTAGCCCAACCCACCACCCAACACGTACTATCTGTCAGAAGAGGTACCCCGTACAAGAGCCAAAACCCTCCTCCCTTTTACGAGGGGGAGCTTGAGAGAGGTTTGTTTACTTATTTATGGCTTTTTCAGGAAAGAAATACTCTGATCCAGACAACAACCGTCTTAGCCCGAGGAACGGGCCAGCCTGATGCTCGATCTTGCTCTGCCTGTCCCACCCATCGGGAATGGCCTATAACACGCTTTCCGTCCATCGCGTTCAAGGCTTGGCAGTTGCTTTTAAAACAAAAATAGATTTCATTTCGGAGTTAATGACAATTCCTTGCTTTCACTCTCGTGACAGCCCGTTTCCCTCTCTGAGCTGACCTAGATAAACATTGTCTACCTGGGGGGGGGGTTTTCCTGTGGGTCATTTTCAGTTTCTTTTCCTTTTCAGTTAAGCACTTAGGATTTAAGGGTTAAGTTAAACCACCCTTCAGATAACCTAGCAAATCCAGCTCAAACCTGCCTGTTCTATGACCAGGAAATGCAGCCATCACCAGGCAAAGGAAAAAGGAAACAGTAGGTCATTTTTCTTAACAGAATGTTTAGGACAGCGTTTCCTCTTCCGTTGTATCATAGTGCTGATGCGTTTGCCATTCCTCAGCTGGGGCCCCTTTATTTTGCTAGAATATAGAAATATAAAAGAATTGAATGGAGAATTTTCCATATCATCTCACAGGAATCAAAGAAGTTTGCAATGCCCTGATAAGCGCGACCATCCATAGGCCAAGGTAGGCTGGCTTTTCGAGGCAGTTGGGACCTGAACGTTTAATAGACTGTGGTCCCTTGAAATAATAGAAAATACTCGTAGCTCGGGTTTTAGATTTTGGCTGTGGTTTGTTCTCCAAGCTTGTTTGAATTAAAACAAGCTTGGAGAACAAACCACTGGGGTCCCTTCTTGAGATGCCTAAAGGATTGGGTTTGATTATGTGGCATCAACTTGTTGTTAACTCTTAGGGATCACATAGAGTTTCAGCATTATTTTATACTGATGTATAGGAAGGAAGGAAGGAAAACAGAAAGAAAGAAAGAAAGAAAGAAAGAAAGAAAGAAAGAAAGAAAGAGAAAGAAAAGAGAAAGGAGATAGGAAGGGAAGGGAAGGGAAGGAAGAAATGAGAGAGAAAGAAATAAAAATAGAGACAGAAAGTAAGAAAGAAGAGAAAAAGATGGGAAGGAAGGGAAAGGAAGGGAAGAAGGAAGAAAGGAAGGAGAGAGAGAAAGAGAAAGAGAAAGAAAGAGAAAGAAAGAAAGAAGAAAGGAGATGAGAAGGAAGGAGAAGAAGTGAGAGAGAGAAAGAAAGAAAAATAGAGACAGAAAGTAAGAAAGAAGAGAAAAAGATAGGAAGGAAGGGAAGAAGGAAGGAAGGAGAGAGAGAAAGAAAAGAGAAAGAAAGGAAAAGGAAGAAAGAAGAAAGAGAAAGGAGATGAGAAGGAAGGAGAAGTGAGAGAGAGAAAGAAAGAAAAATAGAGACAGAAAGTAAGAAAGAAGAGAAAAAGATGGGAAGGGAAGGGAAAGGAAGGGAAGAAGGAATAAAGGAAGAAGAGAGAGAAAAAAAGAAAGAAAAAGAAAGAGAAAGGAGATGAGAAGGAAGAAGTGAGAGAGAGAGAGAGAGAGAGAGAGAAAGAAAGAAAAATAGAGACAGAAAGACAATAAGAAAGAAGAGAGAAAAAGATGGGAAGGGAAGAGAAGAAGGAAGAAAGGAAGAAGAGAGAGAGAGAAAGAAAGAAAGAAAGAAAGAAAGAAAGAAAGAAAAGAAAAGAAAAAGAAAGACTTTAAAAACGCTTTCAGTTCTGCGTTTTCTCGCTCATAAAAGCAAACGAAGCCTCAAGGGCTCAAAGCTGATTTGAAGAGCCGTTTTCCTCCTCCAAATATGACAGGAAAAGCTTTTGTTCTTTCCGTGTTTAAACCTAAATTTCCTCCCTGCTCTGCCCAGCTTCAGAATCTGCTGAAGGGTCACAAAGCCTACTGTATTTGGGAAGACAAAGACAAGGAGAAAATGTGGATTGTAAATAAGGTCTCAAAATGCCAGGGGATAATGCAAACCCTGGACTGATTTATTGCCAGAGGCTTCGTTCTCTGCTTCAAGGGGGGAACTGGCCTAACAAGGGTTGGGTAGCCAAGCAACCTCAAAAGCTTCCCAGTTGCCATGGGGACCATTTATTTCCCCCCCCCCCATGTGCTGGCTGAAATTTTGTCTCGTCTTGTAATTAAAGATTTGACTCAGGAACTGGAGAGGCCAGGCAGAGTCTAACTATGGGGTTGCCGGATATTATAAGCCTGCACCGAAGATCCTTTGCTGGGATTCTGTGGCCTTTGGGACAGAAATATTGTGATTATAAAGAAATGCCCTGAAGTGTTTGCAGAACAGAAATAGACAGTTTATACTCAGACCTCAGCATTCTTTAGTCAAGAGTCAAGGAGAGAACCAGCCTAGAAATAAGGAGAAATGTCCTGATAGTTAGAACAATTAATCAGTGGAACAGCTAGAATAGAATAGAATAGAATAGAATAGAATAGAACAGAATAGAAGAGAATGGAATGGAGTAGAGTAGAGTAGAATAACAGAAATAGAATAGAATAGAGTAGAGTAGAATAGAAAAACAGAAATAGAATAGAATAGAATAAACAGAGTTGGAAGGGGCCTTGGAGGTCTTCT